AAAAAAAAAAAAAAAAATATTAGAAGCTAGGTGTGTGGTGGCACATGCCTGTAATCCTAGCACTCAGGAGGCTGAGGCAGGAGGGATACTGTGAGTTTGAGGCCAGCCTGCGCTGCACAGGGAGATGCTATTAAAAAAGAAAAAAAAAAAAAATTGAAGTTGGGCTAACGCCATAGTCTATCCAACCAAGCTATCAAACTTCAACTTATTCTTAATTCTAATATCAGTTAAATTGTAGCAAAGTATTAATCTACTGGCAACTTTTTGCTTGTCATGTTAATTATATAAAGCCAGCTTTATATTTAGTTATTTTTTTGTTTAGCTGTATTTAAGGCAGTCTATGTTGATTCAGTGCATCATGTGCTCTTTCAGAACTCTAAGTTTCAGCTTTCGCTGGGACTTCTTTCAGCAGATGTACAAGGCTGGCTTTGGTATCCAGTGAGCTCCTTAGTGAGCACAACTTGTTGGAAGCACTTCTGTTAAAGAACAGTTGAGCCAGGCCTGGTGGCACACATCTGTCATCCCGGCACTCCGGAGGCTGAGGCAGGAGGAGTGCCCTGAGTTCGAGGCTGGCCTGAGCTAGAGAGCAAGACCCTGTCTAACACACACACACACACACACACACACACACACACACACATTCACACACACACAGAGTTGATGTCAATTCCTTCTGCTCTGGAGGCCAAGGGAAGAGGATCCTAAGTTCAAGGCCAGCCTAGCCAGTGTAGACTATCTCAAAATGTTTATTTTAAACAAAAAAAGAGTTGAGGATATAACTTGCCTAACATACATGATGCCCTGGGTTCAGTTCGCAGTGAAAAAAACAAAATAGACAGCGCCCAGTAGAGATGAGTGTGGCCCCCACCTCCCACTGCTGGGCCTTGTGGCCAGTGGTCACAGCAGCCTCCAGCAAAGTGTGTTTTATTAACTTTTAAAAGTAAATAAAGGGGCTGGCGAGACAGCTCAGTGGTCTAAAGTGCCTGCTTAGGCAAGCTTAGGCAGGCACAGGGATTGCGGTTCCGTGGCACCACGTGCTATGCCAGCCCCACCCCGAGTACAGGCTGAGCCAGCCACCAAAAAAAAAGTAAAAAGCAGAAGAATATTATAAAGCCCCTCCCCTTAAAGCTGTAAAAAATATCACCATGTGTTAAGTGACCGGGGTCCCCTCACAGTGGGGTTGAAGTGCTGTGAGATCATCACAGGGCCCCTAAGTGAGGCTCCTTGAAAGTGTCCAGGACTTTGTGCGCCACGTGTTACCTCTGGCCATAAATGCTTAATGAATTGTCCCTGTTGCTGTGTCCTGAGTGGAGATTTCTCGAGGACTCTCACGTCCCTTTTCATGGAGTGCTGTCTGTCTTGGCTGTAGATGGAAGCTGCGGCACAGAAGTGGGTGGTGAGCTAGAGAGCGCCCGGTCCGTGGGTGCAGCGGCGCCTCAGTGTCCTGCAGCTGCGAGGCCCGTGGGCCACAGCCACCACCACAGGCTGGGCTTTGGCATCTTCCCCCAGCAAGCAGCAGGAGGCCAGCAACTCTATCTGCTTTGCACCCCGGGCTGTGCCTCTCCACCTGAGTCCGAGACAGGGACGGTCTGCCTGCCTTCCCCCATTTCTCCTACTAGAGCATCTTACTTTATTCAAGACATTACACATTGTACTGTAATGGAAAAATTGTTTGCTTTCAAAATCTCTTGTAGCTTCAACATCCTAGTCTTACTTTAACAGGGTACGAAGGAATCTTGTGAAGAAACGGGAAGGAGGGAGGGAGGGACTGAGGGACGGAGGGCAGCTGTCTAGGATGCCGACCAAGCCGCCTCCGCTGTTCCTTCTGTCTCCAGAGCTGGAGTCCGTGGACGAAGGGCTGCTGCGGCTCTGCACCAGCAAACTGAAGCTGCTGCATCTCTATGAGTCCGTCAGCCAGTTAAACTCCTGTGATTTCCACACAGACACGCCGTTCTCTGACAGAGTGAGTAAGCGCAAGTGTCGGTATTCTGTAAAATCATCTCGTTATGTTTGGTTTTGTTTTTTTAAGCTCAGCAGGGCGTGTTTTCTTTCATTTCATTGGTGTGTGTTAGCAGTTCCTGACAGGATTGGCACAGTCCATTTCCATTCCCTTTTTCCCCTCCCTCTACTCCCCTTTTATTTTCCAGCATCAGGTTTATTTACAAGACTTAAAAGGTTGATTATCATATACACAGGTTGAAAACCAGAGTACTGGGGCCAAAGCATGTGTTAAACAGTTGCAGTAAGTCAAGTAACTTTCAGGTACATTATCCGTGCTGGAGTGCAGCTCCTTTTTCCCATCATTCATCCGTTATTTTGTACTTTATGTGCATTAAGTACCTCCAATATTACGTACTTAGTACCTTATATGAGTGTTTCATATGAGAATAACCATGCGACAGTCACGCTCGTGTGTCTGAGCTGGGTCACCTATCATGGGCTCATGGCACATCCGTTTCCCGCAGCTGACTCCGTTGTATCTTTTTTTATGGCAGAATAGCACTCCACTGTACATAAACACTGCAGAACTTCTATGCGTCCGTCTGCCGACGTGCGCTGTTTCCAGGATGTTGTTCTTGGGAGCTGCACTGATGTGATGGGCGTGCCATGCTTCACCGTGACGTGGTGCCCTTTGCTCTGTGGGGCAGGCGCCTGGCAGGAGAGCTGTGGAAAGGGATTTCTGCAATTAATTTTTGGAAGAATCTTCGTGCTGATTTCCATGGCGCTTTTACCAATTTACACTCCCACCCACAACGGAAGGCTTCCTTCTCCCTGCAGCTGCACCAACGTTTGTTACGGGTTGACTTCTTTGTTTCTTAAGAGTAGGTAGAATATATTTATGGGGGGAAGGAAATCTTCTGTCCAAGAGAGGGACAGAAGGGACCCTGAGTGGGTTGCCCCTGGTTGACTTCTTGGTGCTCGCCGTTCTTCTCTGAAGTGAGATGAAATGTGTGTTGTTTTTATCTGCAATTCTCAAATGGCTGACAGTGTCGAACATTTTCTCTTGTGTTTATAAATTCCATGCATTTCTTTACCTGAGAAGTATCTTTGTTTCGGATGCCCATTGTTAGTAGGGTCTCTAAGTGTGAGAGGTCTGTTTTTTGAGCTCCTTATCTGTTCCGTATCAGGGACAGCGAGCCTTGTAGGGCTCCCAGCAGTAACGGACAGCCCGAGTGCTGTGGTTCACACCACTGCTCCAGAAACGGTATTTGTCACCGCACCAGCTGGGAAGGTTTTTCCCATTCTGTAGGCTGCTTCTTCCCTCTGCTGGCAGTTTCCTTTGCTGTGTAGCTTTTCAATTTGATGTGATCCATTGTATGATTCTTGGTATTATTTCTTATGCAACCAGGGTTTTGTTCAGAAAGTCTTTGCCTACACTCCTGTCTTCAAGGGTTGTGGGCATTGTGTGTGTGCTGTGCATGCGCCCTGGGGTCAGACATTCCTGCACCTGCCTGTGTCCTGCACTTGGAAGAGCATCGGCTTGTCAGGACTTTCACATATTTTCTCCCTGGGATCTACACACAGGACTTAGGTATAGTCCGTGAAAACTGGCTTTCCACATCTTTGTTTTATGAAATTTGTGATACTTAATGTATAAGCATTTCATTCTAAATACTTCCTAGTTTAGCACAATGACAAGAGTTATAATGATGTCTTTATTTTTTTTTCTTTTTTTTTCCAAAATTTTATTGATAAACAGCAATGAGACAGTTTCAAATCAATTCGGAAGTACAGTTTCAACAAATAACACACTGCATATATTCTTCTTAGTGGTTAATTGCTGTACAAGATGCAGACTTGTGATCCT